GGGACTCAAACTATGGTCAGCCATGTGGGACCTTATAGCACCCTTAACCACCACGCCACCTGCCAGCCCTTCACTGACAGTTCCTAAAAGGAAAATGCCATCTTACTGGAACAGTAAGCATTTTGGGTAATGTTGAAAATGTTCCAATTTACCTAAGTGACGTACACAGCTGTGTTTGAAATAACAAAAATTATGCATCAAACAGTGGGTAAATAAAACATACATTCAAAGGGTAGAATATTATACATAAGTTAAAATTAAATTAAGCTCTCTAACCATATGAGTCAGTTACTTAATGTTGAGCAAAAAAGTCAAAATACAATGTGATTTTTGTGTAAATGCAGTGGATAATTAAGCAATGTGTTTCGAAGTACAAATGTAAATCGATGAAGTATGAAGAAACAAGGGAGTGATAAATCTAAAATTAGGAGAGAATGAGGTGGCTTGCTTGGGTTTCAAGGGGGATGTAAGGCTTCTCAGAAATTTCTCCCTCTTTTCCCTTAGAATACATGATACCTTTAGTGTTTTTGTTGTATTGATCTTTTTTGTGCCTTATGTATATTTATAACACAAGCGTATGTTTTTGTTTTTGTTTTATAAAGAGGGAGTTTTACTATAGGGCGTGTGCATTAGCCAGAGAGACAAAAAGTGAGAAATCACCTCCCGCGGGGGATGGCCACACTAGAATCTCCTCCCCTCCATTCTCTCATGGCATGCACATGCACTCAGTGTGAATTTTAAGCCACCGGTTCTATCTATTCCATATGTATGTATGTATGTAGAGAGATTTTTGCTATAGGGCACTTGTGCTCTTGAGAGAGACAGAAAGTGAGAAATCACCCCCCCCCAGGGGCTATGACCACACTGAAATTCCTTCTCTTCCATTCATTCTCTTCTCAGGATTTTGGGCACACACACACATGTGTACCTGGTGTGAGGTGTTTTTTGTTTGTTTGTTGTTGTTGTTGCTGTTTTTCCATTTCTTTATTTTGAAGAATGATTTACTTGGGGCCAGTAGGTTGCATGGTGGTTAAGGGCACTGAACTCCTACATGGCCTACTGCAGTTCGAGTCCCAGACCTGGCGGCTTGCTTTTTCACTTTCCTTCTCTGTCTCTCTCTCTCTCTCTCTGTGTGTGTGTGTGTGTGTGTGTGTGTATGTGTCTGCCTTTCTCTGGCAAATGCATGTGTACTATAGCAAACAATAGTGATAAATTAAATAATATTAAGAAAATAAGCTAAATATGGGACCAGCAGTTAGCGTAATGGCTATGTCACTGGACTCCCATGTAGCTGACTGCAGTTTGTGTCCCGGACCCAGTGGCTTAAACTCACGCCAGGCGCATGTGCGTGCATGCCCAAGATCCTGAGACGAGAATGGAGGAGAAGGGATTGTGGCATGGCCTCCCCACCCAGGGGAATGATTTCTCGCTTTCTGTCTCTCTCTCTTTCTGACGAGCACACTTGCCCTATAGCAAAAACCTCTCCAAAAAAAAAAAAAGCTAATAAAAGAATTATTTAAAAAAATAATTAGTTTTATTTATCATTTATTTTTTAAATTTGACAAGAGAGCAACAGAGCCAGAGAGAGAGAAAGTGTTGAAAGTAAGCTGCCAGGTCTGGGACTTGAACCATAGTTGACCATGTGGGAGTTCAGTCCTTCAACCATCATGCCACCTATTAGTCCCCCAGCATGAGTTTTAAGCCATCTAGTCTGGGACTTGAGCTTCAGGAATGTTTGAGAATCCAGTGATGCAACTATTATGCCATCACCCCCAATATTTAATTAAAATAAGGCCACCGGCTATGTCAGTCTACTTATCTGGGACTTCCATTTTTTTAATTTTTATTTATTCATTCATTTATTTTAATTTGACCAAAGAGACAGAGAAAGAAAGAGAGAGAGAGAGAATGAGAGAAAGCAAGCCACCAGGTCCAGGACTCAAACCATGGTCGACCATATGGGAGTGTCCAGCACCTTAACCACCATGCCACTTGCTGGTCCCGGGGGATGTCTTTCTTCAAGAGTTGGTGACTTGGGGAGAAAATAGTTAAGAACTTAGGAGCAACTCCTGAATCTAATTGCTCTCTCTCAAAATGCATTCTTCCCCCTTAATATTTGAGAAGATTCCAGTGTGTCCTTTAAGGGACTTCTCCCATTCCCAGCTAATTGGGGTCATTCTAGGAGCCCTTTCACTTGGAATGTGATAAGATTGTATAAGTAGAACTTCATGGTGGACTGGTTTTAATGAGGAGCAGGTTTTTGTTTTTTTGTGTTCCCATTTGTCTGCCTTGCTAATAATGACATTTTTTTCTCTGTTTTGTCCCCCCGCCCCTTAGACAGAAAATCTGTTGTGGGATTATCTATAAAGGCCGCTTTGGGGAGGTCCTCATCGACACACATCTGTTCAAGCCTTGCTGCAGCAACAAGAAAGCGGCTGCAGAGAAGCCGGAGGAGCAGGGCCCGGAGCCTCTGCCCATTTCCACTCAGGAGTGGTGACTGAGGCGCATGTACAAGGGAGCGACAAGTGGTTTAAATTTTGAAAAGACCATAAAACAACAAACTGACCTTCCTATTTTTCACTTGGATACCTGCTATTCTGCCAAAAGACAATTTCTAGAATAGTTTTGAAATGGATTCTTTCCCCCCTAGTCCCACAAACTCTGAAGCCAGTGTCTAGCTTACTAAAAGAAAAAAAGAGGTGTACATAATATTTAAGATGCTGAGTATTTCATAGGAAAGCTGAATGCTGCTGTAAAGTGCTCTTTAAGTCTTTTTTTTTTTTTTAATCCCCTTCTAATGAATGAAACTAGGGGAATTTCAGGGGACAGAGATGGGATTTGTTGTATGATAAACCGTATGTAGTTTTAGTACTTCTATATTGAGAAGCAGTTGGTTGGGGCATTTTAAGATGGCTGGCTACCCTTGTTTTCCCTCATAATAACATAGTTATCGTTAACTCAGTAACAGAGACTCGCCCCCGAGGCAGTTAATAATTTTGGAATATTAAGGTCTTGCCAAGGTTCTGATGATTTAAACCTGTACTACTGATTATTATTAAGTGGGGCAGACGGAGCTTTCTGGTACAAATACCTTCAAGGAGAAAGTAATTCCCAAACAGAGAGGGAACTTGGCTGTATATGCTGTATCCTGTGTCACCTCCCTTCATATTAATACTTGATAAGAGAGATGAATTGATGTGACTCTTCTAAAGCAGAATCAGAGCTCCTCTTGGAGAAGTGGCAAGACAGGAGAGGCGAGATGCTGTAGAAGGGCTGGTAAGCGTCGCCATGCGGTGGGAGCACACTGTAGTAAAGATGTCGAACTATCTAGAAAATAAAGTGTGCACGTCTTCAGGGTGGCACAAAACAAAGTTTAATGCTTCCGGGCACACGTGTCTTGGAGGGCTTGTTGAGTGTGTAAATAATTGACTTTTTTATGTTACGTGAGTTGTTTGGTGACTTCATTGAAAATCTGCACAATTCAGTTTTAGCTCTGGATGACTTCAGTTGACCTTTGTGAAGGTTTTATCTGTGTAGAGTGGGTGTTTGACTTAACCTATTAGGGTTTCTGGTTCTCTCTCCCACCCCCACTCTATTTAAAGTGAAATTTACTAAGAGAAAAGAGATATATGAATGCTAAGTGGGTTGGTCTTGGTTTGGCTTCTTTCAGTTAGGTTTTCTGAACATGGCAATATTCTGAATACTGAGTTCTCAACAGCCTCTCACTGGAACCCAAACCCAAGTCCTCACACTCACGTGGCCTCTTTTCTGTACATTCAGGAAAAATATCACTAGTTTAGACTTTTTATTATAGAGAGGAAAGAGCATTTTGTTTGTCTTACAATAACAGGACTCAGTGCTTATCTTTAAACTGGATTTGGAAAACCAGAAGGTATAACAGTAAGGAGTGAGCCTCTTTTTATGGGCACCCTATGATTCTATAGTTCATCTAAATTGATCGTTTTCTGTTTCTTTGGGAAAAAAACTTCCCTGCCACAAGCCACCATTGCACTGCTTCTGCAGTGAGCTGAGTGGCTCTCCCACAGCCACTGAGGTGTATCACAAGAGTCCAGCCATTCTCATCCTCCTGAGTTATTTTGAAATGTTTTTTTTTTTTCCTTTTTGTACATTTTGGCTGCAGTATTGGTGGTAGAATATACTATAATATGGATCATCTCTACTTCTGCATTTATTTATTACTAGACCTCAACCACAGTCTTCTTTCCCCCTTCCACCTCTCTTTGTCTGTAGGACTACTGTATGTAGTCATGCACTTTGTATTAATATATTAGAAATCTATAAATCTGTTTTGTACTTTTTATACTACTGGATACTTATAATCAAAACTTTTACTAGGG